TTATAATTTAGTTGTGTAATTAAATTAAATTAAGGCGACCTTGAAAATTTATCAAAATACTTAAGCTGATATTATTTATTTGAAGTCAAAAACATACATAAAATAATTAAAAACTTGCAACAAAAGGTTTAAAACGCGTGTCAAATAATTATAAATATAAAAAAAATAATGAATTAATTATTTTATATATTAAAAAATGATCACAAAAAAATTATTTGGTAAACAAAAAAATAATTGTATTTCTTTAAAATTATTTATATTTAAACAATTGTATTTTACATTAAAAATGTACTTTTTGATATTCACACATACAGTTATTAATATGAAAAGACATTGAATGATAAATAAATAATTAACAATCATGTTCAAATGTATTTGTTGTTGTAAACATAACCAAAGAGAATAACTGTTTTTGACATATTTTTGATTATTGAATATATCTTTTATATTTAAAACGGGTGTGACAATTTTCATTGTGTAACTACATAAAAACCAATTATTTTCAAATAACTCATTGTTGATAATAACATGTAAATTATGTTATTTAATATATATTATCTTTTTAATTTATTCTGTCTAATTACACACATAAATAACACAATTTTAATAATGACATAACAACTGTTATTTAATAGTGAAATAATAACATGATTATACATTCACTTTTAATGATTGTATTTTGATATTTAATATAAAATGATTTACTTTTATACTTTACGTGTTCATTGAAAAATGAATTAATTTATCAAACATTTATACCTTTTGAGTGTATAAACATATAATTTTAAACTAAACAATAACAAAATTATTATAGTATAAAAAGAATTTAAATAAATATTTTAACGACTTGTGGTTCACACCTATGTGTACATGTTATGAATAAATAAATTATATATTTACTGTTTAAAATAACTGACAACCACTTAAAGCTTTTTTTTATGATAAATAATCAGATATACATATGAACAAAATTAAAAAATAATGATAATGAACGAATTTGTATTTGTAATTAAATTGGTGTTGTTACTTAGGTTAAATATATTTTATAAATTTAAGTAACAATATTTTTTTCTACAATACTAATATAATTCTTTTTGAAAGCATTTGAATTGATATTAAATGTTTGTGTATTACTAAATAATATGTGCATCGTATTATAAATTCAAAGAGACAAACATTTATGTTTTAATGCACTTTTATGTATCATCTAAATTAATAACTATTATGATAAATAAATATATATAATTAATTTTAAAATATAAAATAATAAAAAGTGTATTCATTTTTGTTGAAACGACCAAGTTTATGTACCACAACAAAGAACTGAAATTAATTTTATAATTATAATTGTCTGCTTTTACTCTTTGATAATAAAATGATTATTTTTATATCTTATGAATATATGTGAGAGAGCAACACGTTTAAAGCAAAAATGTTTTAAACTGTGCTATTCTAGTAATTTTAATGTAATGATTTTAAATATATATTTGATGTTACATGTTTACACACTAAAAACTTATCATGTTTTATTTTTGACATTTTATAAAAATGAAAATGTTGTGATTAACAATGAAACCTAATACACATTCTGTTGTTATTAAATTATTAAAATTAATAATCAGTACATGTTTCTATTTTATATAATAATAAATGTTGTGGTGTTACTAAGGTAAATCTGTTTAATTATGTCTTTATATTTAAATAATAAGAAAACAAAAGTTAAAGAAAATAATCGTTAAAACAACTCTCTTATATGTAATTATCAATAAAAGTTGTTGAATGAAAAATTGTACATCGACGTAGTTACACAATCAATTGATGATAATCGTTTATTTTTGTTATAATGAATATCATAGTCATTACACATAAGTTATTATTTACAATCAATAA